TCCTTAACTTGCAACTCAGGATTTTCGTCATGCTCTTCTTCATGTACAAAATGAAACTAAAAACGATAGGCATCTCTATACGGGGCTAAGAATTGGCGCCGACCAAGGGGCCTGCCCTTGAAGTTCCCTTTCTTAAATTCACAACGTTATAGAAATACAAAACCTGATTAGCTCCAACCAATAATTTACCGCTAATATTCTTAAAATCGAACAAAATACGAGAATCAAAAAAAATCTTGAGATAGTCCTCATTCGCCTTTCATCTTGTCTTTTCACTAATGCAAGCGCATTAACACGGAAATTAACACTGTAATATGGAAAATGGCTGCATTACAATTGGATTGCATCACATGAACAGAAAATACGGCTCTGGAATACGCAAAATGGTTGCATTAGTATACGGCGCCGGGTCTAAATCGACTTTATAATAGAGAAAACAAAATCAAGCGTAATAAATGCGAACAAGAACAACAACGCACAAGGATTAAAAGCTAGCTGACAACTACTTCATAAAAAAAAATTATCTACAGCAATCCAGTAAGGAACACCGACTTAAAAATTGCAGACTGGAGCAACAACTCAAGAAGGTCGAAAGCTAGTTGCTTCATAAAGTGAAATACTATCTTGCAGCGATTCAGTTAGGAGCACCAGCTTCGAATAATCATAGATACCAAAGTACAATCCACGTAACACAATAAATCCACGGTAGAGACCAACAAAGCCAAATCATTGAATTGTCTCTCACCTCCTTTCTTTGATGCATTAGCATCATTAGCAAGACGTGTTCAAGCATAATCCAAGTAAACAAAGAGAATCAGAACAATTCAGAACCAAAATGAAATTTTAATTTGTCAAACGACACCAAAATAAATGGTACAGATTCAATCATTCCACCACGAGAAACTAAAAATTCAAAACCTACTCAGAAAAAAATCGAAACTTTAGCACTATACCACACAATACTCAATTCTTCTTCAATAGGAGGATATGGGTCGACCGACGTGATATGACATTATTTTTGGGCATTTCATTAAATAGCCTCCAACCCGTATCCAGATTTTCGCAATCGACCGCAAGTAAATCATCAAAGTAAGATGACTATGTCTTTAAGAGGCATTTCATCGAACAAGTGGAGTGCTTCAGCCTTCAACCAATCTAAAGTTTCAAAGTACGAAGAAATCATCTTTGATTTCTCGGCAAGAAGATTATTAGAGAGGTGCGGTGCGCAAAGTTGACGATTTTGTTTCAGCAGCCAGAATATAACCACTTACAGCCAGAAAATAAATGCTTTCGTAACTTCCATGGCGTTGGAAGGTGAGGATCGTGATATGCTGGATGGCGTTTCTCGACTATGCTCCTTGTCAAGTTAGGGATTTTGATTCTTAGGGGAAGAACATGCTGTGAGGTTTTGACTTTATTTAACGTGTACTTTGATAATAGTATGTGAATGAATAGCGAGGTAATTTCAATCGACGTTTTTT